GGCCCGGGGGGGAAAAACCCCCCCCCTAATTTTTTTTTTTTGGGGAGGGGTTTTCCCCCCCAAAAACCTTTTAAAAAAATTTTGGGGCGCCCCCCCCCCCCCCCCCCCCCCCCCCTGTTTTTTTAAAAGGGGTGGGGGCCCCGGGGCCCCCCCCCCCCAATGGGGACCCCAGGGGGGGGCCCCCCCCCCCCCGGTGGGGGGGGGCCCCCCCCGGAAAAAATTGGTCCCCCCGGGGGTTTTTTTTTTTTTTCCCCCCCCCCCCCCCCCCCCCCCCTTTGGGGTTTTTTAAAAATTTTACCCCGTTAAAAACCCCCAAAAAAAAATGGGTTTTCCCCCCCCCCCCCGGAAATTTTCCCCCTTCCCCCTTTTTGACCCCTGGGGGGGGGGGGCCCTTTTTCCCCCGCACCCCCCCCCCCCCCCCCCCCCCCCCCCCGGTCTCTCTCTCTCTTCCCCCCTCTCCCCCCTCTCCCCTCCTCGCTCCTCTCCCTCTCACCCTCTATCTCTCTCTACCTCTCTATTCCTCTCTCTCTCTTGCTTTCCGCGCATCGAAAATCGCGAAAACAACAACACCCGAATCAGCTACGTCTACGTCCCGACGTTCGAGAGCGGCGGCAGCTTCTTCCCCAAGATGTTCCGGAGGTGGATCTTCGCGCTCTTTGCCGCACAGGCCACCATGGTCGGCATGTGCCTTCTCAAACAGGGCTTCAAGCAGGCCTACAGCGTCATGTTCCTCATGGTGCTCACTTACGTCTACAAGGTGCGCTTATTCTGTCCAGCGAGAGCGTTTTTGGGCTCTGCGTCGTGTCTAGGGGGGGGGCGTAAATATCGACGCGCGCCAAAAAGGTTCTAATGAGGGATCCTCGTGCCCCCGCCCCCTCCAGCTTTTTTCTCTTTTTCCTCTCTCATGCCCTGTGTTCACCTCCTTCCTGCTTCCGTCGAGGTTAGCCCCCCGCCACTTTGCTTGTAGGGATGCGAGGTCCATGGTATAGCGACTACGGCATGCATGGCTATGAGTACACCCCCACCCCCCTTGTTGTGCTTTCGCCATTCTGACCCCCCCCCACCCCCCCTACAAAATACTCCCGCTCCCCCCCCCCCCAAAAAAAAAACAAAACTGAAACAACAAAAGGTCCGGTCCCCCA